GAGAAGACAGGGAAGAATTAAAGACTCTGAAGAAAGGATCCAGATGAAGTAGTGGAAGGGGGCACGGCGAAGAATAATAATGTCTGCTGCTGCAGCCCAACAACCAAACTTGCTGCTCTGCGTGAGGAAGGAAAAGGCGGAAGGAAGTTGGAGAAAGGCCGGTGCAGACGGCAGGCAGCACACACACTTGCTTCTTCAACAAGAATTCTCACCATTGCAAGAAGGCAACTGACAAAAACTTAACTGGTGGTGGTGTGATGCAAGTTTCTCAATTCGAGGCCTGTGTCCCCGATATATCAACGTCGCCCAGGAAAGTTTTTGCCGTTAAAAATAAAGTCATAAGTTGAGCAAGAACTAGCAGAACTAATACTACGAGGAGGAGGAGAAGGCTCTTCTGGTACGGATAAAATTTAGATGAGAATGTTACAAGAGAAAGAAAGACAGAGAAGACAACTTGAACAAACCAACAAATTCATTGACATTTTTCGATTCAATTCAAAATCATGTTCGAAAGGAAATCGGTTTCGTCCAAAAATTAAGACTTTATAACTGGGAATGGAATAGGAATGTTATGTAACAATCATGCAAGCAGAATGTGTTACAGATTCACATCGACTGAAATAGCAAAGTAATACGGCTCATTATTTTATTCAGCAGATGACAACGATTCAAATTAAAGATTCTTGTTTGACTATCTATATCTTGAGCGTTTGCTTATTTTGATCTGAGCAGAATCCGGTTGAAACACTGCGGCTGATACTTTTTTGAAGCATGAAAAATGCGCTTTCATTCTGGTCTGTTGCAGATCCAACATTACTATTTTAGTGACACACACAATGCAATGCTCACACCTACGAAGGAACGACTCACTCTTTTTCGTTTCAAGAATTTTCGGGTCCATGGCCAAGAATCAAGAATTGCAAATTGCAACCAGTCTCTGCTGCTCACCATTCCGCGTCCGAATATCCTGCAGCGCAAACACCTTTCTCTCTCCCTCGTACACTGTCAAGAGTGAGAGTGAATGGAGTTCGGGGCAATAAATTTCCTAGTTTCATTGCACCTTTTGCATCGCAGTAAGGAACCCCAATGTGAATCAACCAGAGTGGTTCCGACACAAACACACATGCGACATCACATTCGAGAAATGTCCCCTTACACAACTCCATATCCAGCACCACCACTATCGCTTTCGCCCTGGTAAAAAAAGCGTAATATATCATGCGGTCCAAGTTTCACAGGTCGGATGCAATAGATACCACAAGTTTGATCAGCCCATGTAGCCAGAGGAGGAGTAAGGTTTTTCTTTCCTCGGTCAGAATATCTCTCTCTCTCTCTCGGTCGAGTCTGGGTAGTTGCTTATCCACACACAAATTGACAGGTCGGGAAGAAGAGGAGCCGCCGCGTGGTGTGGTTTCAATTCAATTCACCCAGGTATGCAACTTCCATAATTCATGAAAACATGGGACAGACACGGTGTAACAAGATTCGACAAGACAAACACGACGACACATGGGGATAAAATATGAGTTCCCTCTTGTTCGGAAGTTGAGCCAAAAAAATTTGCAAAGTTCAAGTTCCCAGGGCAAGAGCGATAGAGCGATAGTGGAGAATTCTGGAATATCTCTCCTCCTTCTCAAAGTTTGTAAATTTTCAATAAGCCTCGCTGGTTGTAACCGTTTTTTATACATATATGCACTCGTATGGATAGATGCGATGTAAGATGAGACGAGATCAGATAAGATACCACACTCGCACACTTATAAGATCGTGTTAATCTGAAATCTCAACCGACATGCATACCGTAATATAACCCCATTAATCTTTTCAATGTGCCCGATGTTTACACAATTGGACACACTAATTTTAAACACATGACATCTACGCATTTTTAACTCGAGATACACATGTACAGCTTGATACACCAAAGAAAACATGGTGATGAGATTAATGACTTTGATCAAGGCGTACTCATCTTTCTAATATCTTGGGCGCACAGTTGGAATGATTCTGTTTTTCTGGTCTTTTATAAAACTCGTTCTCTGCACAATGTCTCAACGTGGTGGTTACATTAAGTAATCTTATTTTCAAGCACGTATTACGGATTGGTACATATAAAATTACTGGCACCTCAGTCTCGTCTCATATTCCACGTAATTTACTATTTAGCAAAGTATTTATTTTCGAGTATTTACATACATCAGACGAAATATTATGCAGAGGGTAACAACTTAAAACACAATTCCACTCTAATCTTCAGTAGTGGAACAAGAATTGAGTGCGTATTTACATATGTGCGTACAATGCAACGAACGATGCTCATTAGATGAAATGGATGTTGCATGTTTTCTCTTTTCAGTGGAACTCTGAGAGCAAATAGGATTTTTCAGCATGACTTGCCATTCAACTCAACCAAAAGTATATCGATCCAATTATTTACCTTCCAAAACTCCTTATAACAATTCACAAGAGAATAAACCATACACATTACTTCCCCATATTTCACCAAAATAAACTCCTGCCCCCTTCGCCAACTAAGCTTCCGTGCTTCCAAAACCTTCCAGGAGTCAGCACAACCGTTTACTGTCTGCGGAGTGAGACCCACCAACAAATGCACTATATTGCACAATCCTGTTACACACTGTTACACACATGGGAAAGAAAATACGATTCTCTATCTCCGTCCAACTTTTTCATCGCATTACATATATTTCATCCTTTTTGCGAGATTGACTTTTTGTCTATAAAGGCTCAAATGCCGCGGCTACACATGGACACGACAATAAGAAAGAAGCAAGAAAATATTTCCCCGAGTTAAACTGAATAGCCGATTTTCACGCAGGGTACTTTTCCACCATGCACACGCTACGGAGGGAAACATTCGATTTGTTGGTAATAAAGTTACTCAACAAAGTAAAAGCACAATGAAGTGGAGTAAATAAACATATCCGAGCCAGATCAGCTCAGTTGAAAAATTTGGGGATTAGATTCTTAGATAAATGGTTGTTTCCCTCCCCTCTTGTTTTGCGGTGAAATTCGGATGGAATGAGGGGAAGAAATTAAGATGGGGGAAGTCCGGAATAAAATATCGACCCTTCCTTATCTTAATTATATCCCTGGCACATTAGATGCACACACAATCTCGAATAAAATCTCATTGTGCTCCTCGAGAATATTCAATTTAACACAATTCACTACAAATACGTATGAGTATGAGCACATCTACGTAAATACACAAGAGAATCAGGTACGCAATCTAAAAAAAATAAGGATTTCTGCAGATGAAATGTATGGTATCATTCTAATCGCACTGCATTGGATTACAAATTCAAAATATGAAACCCCTAATTATAAGAGCAAATTATAATAAGGCTACTACGTAGTGGAAAATTGGACCAAAAATAAATCTTGAACTTTTGGGTTGCTACATTACAGTCAATTAGTTGGAAGCCCATCAAGCTCATCAAAGAAATCTGCTGCTGCTATATTATTATTGAGTGCTTCAACTGGAGGAGTTTCCTTATTGAGCCAGAACTCCATCCGTCGCGCACTTGAGAAGGCTTTCACTCTTCATTTCAACAATGCTCAAGACCCAAATCGAGAGAGAGATCGAACGCAGTCACACCATTATCGTTACGTCTAAATCGACCATTCCTTTTTGGATCATATTATTGCGAGAAATGTTATTATGCCGAACAACCTCAACTAACTGCTTCCCAGCAAAATGAATCTTTTCCCGTTCTCAATTCTTCATCTCCTCCTCAACTAACTACTCAACTAAATAACGTGCTCTGACGAGAGCTGGCTTTCTCTCCAGTCCAATATTTACTTTGGTAGGCGGAATAAAGAACGGGCAGCTCCAACGTCATGCATTTTATTAAAACCTCCAAAAGTTCGTGCAATAACCATTTAAATATAGGGTACTCTAAGCAGGAACGAAGTAGGAGTAATATATGTACACACAGAGAGAAGGACGGGATATGAAGTGATAAATTCGACTCAAACTTAATGTACTACTTCCTCCAGCCCAAAAACTCTCAAGAAGATAAACCCAAAACGGGAAGGAGGCTCAATCAGCAAGATACAGAGACTCGAGCACTCACTTGCAATCACAATCTGTCAAATCAATTTTTCCGAGAGAGTAAGACGGGTGAGAATTTCCTCGGGGAATATGTTTGACGTTCGTAGTTAAAAGATAATAACCATTAGATGATGAGAAAAATCTAATATACTTTTTTCTCTACTCCCATCAAATTCTATCAAACATCACAAAAGTAAAAAGTTTAACTGGTCATTAACCATTTAAATGTGGAACATTTTAAATTAAAGTGTTCGAATGTAAAATTCCTGGTGTTGGGAAATATATGTACAATAAACATTTTATTACTTCATTAACCTGCCGATAAAAGGTGTACTTGGACTGTCCCACAACCTTACGTAAGATTTATATGGCTGCGGGTGGAATGAAATTGTACACAGTAAAAAAAAGAGTGCAGGACTTATTGTGGAGAAAGAGAGAGAAAAGAACCGCAGGTTGGTGCTCAGGTGAAAGTAAAAAGGTCAGGCCCATCGAGGAACAAAGAAAGTGATGTCCCAGTGGAAAATGGTAAGTTTTTTGTGTGCTCTCATTTCGAACCTATCAGACATCTACCTGGACACTTTCTCCCTTCCCCTCCAAACAAGGCCAGAGTTGAACTCGAAGCGCTATTGTTCCGAAGAAGTGTGACTATATGGATGTAGCGGGAGGATGGATGGATGCGTGTCCGTAATGAGAAGTGTGAGCGCACAGAGCGAGTTATACCACGATCAGTTGAACTCCTGCTGTTATTCCATTTACAACAAAGTTTTTGATTGTCGTCGCTGTTGCAGACACTGCATGTGTGAGTCGGAGAAAGTCGAGACATGAGTTATGTTTGGTGCCTATTACGACTGCACTCTGGAGATGGCAAACCTAATATAATGCAATAATAAAAGGAAAATAAAGAGTAGGGCTAAGTGCTTACTTGTCATCGTCATCACAGTCATGTTCATTGAGGCTACCTCCTGGGGATGTCATACTTCCAGCCCCGTTGCTGTTTCCACTGATGCTCCCCATACTCCCATTACCCGTGGCCAGCGACATTCCACCACCACCACAATTATGCACACATTGGAAAAGTCCGTTGTGGCACATTTGATTATTTTGATTGCTATTACTGTGTTGGTTATTAAGACCACCGACGACGATGCCAAAGTTATCGTGAGGCTGCATGATCCCCATACTTTCACCCGTGGCGATGGACGAGTTGTTGGTTGAGGGCCCGTTGAGATGACCAAGGCAGCAATCACCCGTTCCGCTAATACTATTACTACTCCCGTTGGATTGGTGGTGCTGTTGGTGGAAATGATGTACGTGGTGGTGATGGTTTTTGTGATGAAACTGATTGTCAAGCTCAATGCTGTTCCCGTTGGGTTCTCCAGCTTTGATTACCATATTATTGGAATGGATACCGTTGGAGTTGACACCGCTGCCGCCGCCGCCAGTGCCACCAGAAGAAGTGATCCTAGCACTGCTTGACAGGAGAAGAGAGGTTGAACCCATCAGATGAGGGTTATTACTAAGGTTAGTCTCGTGCACCACTCCACTGACGCTATTTGGACGCTCATCAAACATGACTTGATCCTCGTCATGAGAAGAAGACGTAGTCGACGCAATAAAGGATTTGGCTGCTAAAGTTGAACCACTTCCACTGTATGTCGGCGCAGTGGAAGCAGCCAAAGGAGAGGAATTCGCTTGGGAGTGATTACTCTTGTCCTGGTTTTGTTTCACCAGTGTGGACAGTCCTCCCAGACCAGAATTCGGAATTGAGTAGGGCACACAGTAGGGCACACTTTTATTACGAAGGACTTTAGTGGACAAATGGTTCTCAGTGATTTTTAAGCCAGTTCGGTTGTTTCCTTCTCGTGCAGCACTATAGTCTTGCGTAAGAGCACGTTCACGTCCAGGGGAGGAGGAGGCGTTTGCGGATTCGAATGCTGGTGACAATTCAGGTCCACTTGTTACAACAGTCCCACCACCAGAAGCACAAGACGAGGAGGAAGAACTTGTACTTTTACAATTATTGTAGCTCAGTTGGGCACAGCAGGCGTTTGACACGGATGCGATCGTGGAGTTAATGATACATGGACTAGACACCGGAGATGCTCTTGCCGAACTGAAACTATTTTGGCTGCACCCCGTATTCTGCTGTTGCTGCTGCTCTTGTTCTTGTCTCTGAGTACACTTGAAATGAACTGTATTGGAATTAGAGTTTGTCGTATTATTGTTATTGTTATTCGTGGGACACTTTTCCAAAGAGGAACTCGAATCTAAAATCTGTTGTTCACAAGGAGAATCACCGCCCGACAATTTTTCACTTAAACAATTGTTCAAGCACTGCAAATGCACAGGAGGGGACGATTCGCTAGTAGTGGTCATTTCTCGAACGGAAGACGCAATGGCTCATTGCTGAGCCTCGAGTTCTGGAAACCACAAACAAGAAAATAAAGATAAAAAACACACAAAGAACATGGTTTATTATTATTGTGGAGAGAGAGAGAGACGAGTTATTACACCCTTTCAAAATCTTGCCTAATGTGCAAGTTGTCCTGTAAATCTCAACCAAGTTTAGCTTGTTAAGCAAATTTACTATACTTTTTTTGGAATTCTTTCACTCATATTTTTAACTCAACACAAACCTACAAATACACATACGTATGTGGTCGGAGTGAGTAAAGTAATCTGAAAACTTGCAGACGTGGGGCGTATTTAAACTTTTTCATGAATTTAATACTTTGTTCTCTAAAATTGCTCGAGTCAACTTTCAAAATGCATACTTGGTGCAGATCGAGCGCATGCATGCTGCCCACGCATCACATTATTTACAGTGCATGGATGGGCAGAACAAGGCTTCCTCCATGTTGCATAATAATATTTTCTTTTCACAATCGCCAAAGATTTTAGCTGTACGAGTCGTCGAAAAGCCGGCTGTCGACTCATATATTTAATGCCACCTCAGTAAAAGTGGTGTTACCCGGACAGACAGTTCTGAATTCGGGATGGATGGAGAACAGAGGGATGGATGGCATGCGAGGAGGTGCCAAAATAGTCAACATTATTATGCGCTTCAGAATTGTGTCGGTCTTGTCACTCAAGTAATAGCTCCTATTGTCGTAAATGGATATCAAGTCCTATTTATTTCCGAAGATATTCCACACTTTCCAGTTGAAATTTTATCACAAACTAGGAATTCAGCTGCTGAATACATCCGTTCTCAATAATAAGAGATACAAAATAATGTGTATGAAAAGTGAAAAATACGCCACCCCGAGTGAAAAGAAATCTAGCTGCAAAAGAGCGTTTCAATTTGACACCTTCATCGTCATCGTTAATGAGCTCTCGTTCTTGCAAGTTGATATCATCCTCCTTCACTCAACTCAATCCACCTTCTTCTCCTCTTTCGCCCTGTATCGGTTTTCAAAACCTTCTATAAAATCCCATTATTGTCTAAGTCGTCGCTGCCACTGTTATTACGGAGCATGAAGATTATTACAAACCAATTATTGCTGAAATAAAATGTTTCGTGGTGCATAAAGAGTACCACCTTGAGTGCAATATTCACTAAAAAAAGTTTCGTTATATAACTTTCTGCACCCTATAATATTCAACGTCGATAATGTGCATCAAATTGTTTCCACCAGACGATTTTAACAACACGCACGAATGTATTTAGTCGTTTCTCAGTACAAAATATGGCAAATCTTTAGTTGGCCAACAATCTCACATCATCAGAACGGACTTAAACGGCTAGATTACGGCGGAGTGTCAAAGTACAGTCCGTCGGTATCATAAAAGATTGCTGTCTTGTACTCAATAATGTATCCACATGCATGCAGAAATGAACGGAAAGGGAAACGAGCTAAAATGCAGCAGTAGTGCTACATGTCAACGAGTACTTTTCTTCCATTATTGCTGAGAAACTAGTCTTTGATATGAGTGCAAACGGAAGTGTGAGACGACTTGGGAACCGGGCTACGCGTAAATAAAACAATAAGAATATTATTATACTCCTTCATGCATGTGTATTAAATACGATTGAACAATACTTCTTAGACGACTATCGAGCAGAAACGTTATTCCTTCACACAGTGACCGATTCACCTTTGTGGGAAAGTGGAAGTTTCAACATTATTCACCACATCGCAATAATTTCTACACAAACACGTGCACTAATGTTGAGACGCACACACCTTTTTGATATTAAACCCAATATTTTCTTACAAGTTGTTAATAAATACTACTAAACTAAATATCTAATTGCCGCCAGTATTTACATTTTACATAATTGCTATCCTTAGTTCCTCCCCATATTTAGCTCACTTACCTTAACAAATGGTTGGCACCGTTGAAACGAAGTTTAAAACTACGACTTATCGGCAGTAATAAATAATTCACTTGGTAATTACAACCCACACTAGTTTTACTTTCCGTTGGGTACACCGCTGCGACACGATTTCAACTGTAAATTGTGGGAGAACATACAAATTTACCAGGCAGAGGGGACCACCACACAAAACACTTCAACGTCAATTCAACTTGAACAAACAGCAGAAATGCAGACCACAAGCAACCACCAGAACATCCACGATGGCCACCATGAGCTATCAATCTCTGGACAGGAATTCCAGGATGGATGGATGGTGACGGTATTAGCGATATAATAGGGTGTCCCAACTTTGTAAAAAAAATCGCTTTTTCCGCTCACGATTTTTTCGCTCTTTTTGTAAACCGCACTGCGCATGCGATTCCGATCTTTTTTCCGCTTTTTCTGCTCAAAAATAAAATCTACTTTAAGGTGATTTTTTCGCTCTTTTTACTACTTTGAGTGAAAAATCAGTCTCTCAGAGACATGTTTAAGGGGACATCGCCCGATTTTGATGCCCTATGGAATATATTGCAATATCAGGTGAGTGTATGAAAAGTGAGGGAGGATTTTATTCCATTGCCCCACCTGCGCCCGCCACACCCCCTGAAAAGCATTGCAACCACTAAAACTACCGCATTCAAACCTTTGCCAAAAATCCTATTTTCATCCCATTTTGGTAATTTTTGGATTTACATGATCTTAGATAGTTGTTTTATCATATCCAACATGAAGCAAATTTAAATTTTAAAAGAAACTCCAAAGTTTCTTGACCACCCATTCTCTGCTCCTGAGTATTCAAGCGATAAAAAATCGGAACAGTCAAGTATTGAGCGAAAAAAGCGGATTTCAGATTTTTTAGCTTTTCGCTTTTTCAGATCTTTTTTACAAACTTGGGAGACCCTAATATTTATCTCGATTCAAGCCAAACGAATAAACTTCACCATGCCGTCGCTCGCTCCAGCCAATTCAGTTTTCATCCCACAAACCAATACACACACGATGATGAGCTGAAGGGGGATGTAATAAATACAAGCACAAACTTTTATAAAATAACTGCAGCTCAGCAGCGCTTCAACTCATTCAATGCAATGCATCATATAACTCAAGTATTTATTATGCTCCTCTCTCTGGCCTCCCATTGCATTTGCCACCAATAATATCATGTTAAAGCACAAAGTATTTTCATGATAAACACAGTGTACCAACTAAATGTATATATCTCTCTTAACAAATAAACAGAAACGCCACAGACGACTGTAAACTCCCTTTTCACTCGTGTCGTTATCTATCTAAAATGAACAAACTCATTCTCACATACAAATCTTGCATGAAATGTGAAGTATAAATTGTCAGGAAATGCGAGTGCTAGATTCAGAATAGATACTCCTCTGCAAGACTTATTACTTGTTAGTTAGGAGGTGCAGATCTGCTAATTTTAAGATGCTAACAAGTCTAACTTGTAACGCAATTGTACGCTAATTATTAGTTTAAGGTCGTGGTAAGTCAACTCTTATTCTCCTCCTCCTGAGTCTCACCAACCGAGATGAAGTAACAATCACGTTTTTGTTGAGCACACATAAAATTAGCATTAAGGAAGCTCATAATCAGCAGCTGAAACTGACTGAGAACGACCAACGCCAACTGTGACGGATATAATAATGGTGACACACAGAGGACATGAGTAGATCCAGAATTACTAATCTAAGCCAACAACAACGCGCAAACTGTTTTTAATGGTTTTATGAAGTAGTACATGGCGCACACCAGCAGCATAACGAACGGCATAATAACCCAAGTAGAATAAACGAACCAAAATAAAGTGAGCAAGTGTGCACTGTATCTGCATGAGGATAATGATGAAGAGAAGAGTAATAGGGCATGAGTAAATGAGTGCTAGAAAATCTCAACATTGTCAAAACCCTTTGCTTCCTTTCCTCATACAACTCATCCATCCATCCATGAACTATGTACACACATGCATGACACTGAATGGCAAAGAACCATTCTTTGCTTTTGAAACTGATGCGAAATGCAAACTTTTTTGCAACTTTGTCACTTGCCAGCAGCCCCCAAAGCAGTATCCAGACAAAATATGTGCACAAACTGTCACTACGATCATGCATACGTACGGATGTATGTACATACGTTCGGAATTTTCTAGCACAAACCGAGTTCATTCAAAGATATGAGCATCTTTTGTTTCACTATTATCTCTTCCCCAGTTCAATAGCTAAATGGAAATGGGGTGGATATCAGTCCGTCGTGTTGCATGCATACGTTCGTCCAATATACTTAAGCATACGCGTTCTACAAATGATTAGTTTTTCCTATTGGCCTCGTGTTAACTCGCGATATGCTCAACATCCGTCATTCTTTCTCTTCTTTATCTATGTACAAGCTGCAGTCTTATCATCGCACTCCATTAATTATCATCACTCGCTGGTTGGTTGGCGTTTGGCTTTTGATCTGCTCTCAACTTGTTGAATCTCCCCTCCAGCGACTCATCATTCTGGTTAAAATCTACGACGGCACCTACGTATCTGTTTGGTTGGATCAGTCATCAGTAATGCCAACCCAATTGTTGAGTGATTAAAACCTTTGGCAAATATGAAAATTGACTGAAACAACGTTGTTTGACTTTAGCAAATACTCGTCCGATTCCTGCTGATGAAGGGTTTTTTGTTGTGATAACTTATCTAACATGATAATGCCGAAATTGCGCAGTTCAATTCACCCGAAGCCTTATATTTCTTGTTTGATGTGGTGTGGCAGTGACAGAATTTGCCGGTTAGGGGTCGCCTTTCCTAAAATTTCATAATACCACAATCGAAAAGGCACACAAACCAGTATGTACATACGTACGACGACCTACTTCCAGTGTCCCGAAAATTTGCTACATTATTTCATTAATAAACTTGAGACGTGTAGATATGGGTATATATATGGGCACAAATGTATAGGCTGCAAGTGCATACATATCTACATACCTACAAAATGAGCAAGAATCTAATGAACTTTGTCTTTTATCCGTGAAGAATGGAACACACACGTGCCAAAATGTGGGACAATATAGGAAAATATGCCTGGAATACGTGCAAAGATTTTGAATCATGAATCGCACCAGCACATTTGCAGCCAGCAGCAGCAGCACAAGTTTCTATTAGGTTTGCTCAAGAGAGTGAACGAGATGATTTTCCTTTCTCCTGTAAAATTCGGATTTGTTTCTTTATTCTCTTCTCACTCTCACTTACAGGAGTGAAAGAGAGAGAGAGAGAGAGAGCAAAAAACGAGGGAGTTGGTGGTTGGATTAGATTTGGAACCTTTACTCCCAACAAATTCAAAGTGGAAATCTGGTATTTCCTTTATCGTGTATTTTATTTTTGCCGGTTTTGAGATTGAAAAGGGTTGCATCGTGCGTAAATTGTGTACAAAGCCAGAACCCATTCCGAGTGTGAATGAAGGAAACAACAAAGTCAAAAGTAATTGTATCTGCTGCTGCTGATCTTGATCTGGTCATCGTTTTCCCGTCGACGACTCTTCCGCCACGTCACCAGACTAGCTTTCTTTATCTCCCATTCATCCGTATCAAATCGAATCTAGTAGCACTGTCGGAGCAAATGAAACGCTGCTGCTCAACACTAGATCCGGATCGTTTCAACAAATTTGGAACCTCAAAAGACTACGAAATTTCTTCATTTCACATCTTTCGATACTCTGCTCATGCTAATATATTCGAGGTCATAAGAGAACCCACTACACTTATCCATCGATTCCTCATACATAACATTCACCCACATTCTTATTCCTCCATATTCTTGATTCATTGGATCGCATTATCTGCATGAACTCGATTTCAAAAATGGTCTAGGCCATCTGATCCACCATAGACCTTTCATAAGTAGGAAGGAAAACGTGATGTTATTCACACAAATTATTCAAATAGCATCGAGAAACTTCCATGTTAATTGTGCCCTATTGTCAAAATTTGTAGGAAAGTAAAAATGGTTGATATTTTTAAGTTCCCGAATATTTATGTCGGGTAAGGACTATACCACCCGATCTGAATTTGGACAAACAAAATGTACTGTACATAATTTAAGAAAATATGACAATTGGGGACCATATAAAGTCAATATATTTTCATATCTAGAATGGTACAGACAGAAACATCGGTAACATCAAACTATCCGTAAGTTGAACAAATTTGGCTCAATTTCTCCCCTGAATGAGCTCATTCACAGCAAGCTATCAACCCCATAGGATCCATTTCCGAATAATATTCTATACTTCTCTGATCCAATCTATGTACTATTGCGTCTCAAACTTCACCCTTTTCTTTTTTCCTCCAACTTTTCATGCAGCGTTTGCATTTTATGTATGAATATCTTTATTTCGAGCAAGTGGATCTGGATTCCGAAGGGTGAAGTGGGGAGAGCTATTAAATTCTTAGCATTTTCTAACTTTACGGATTCAGCTGGATATTACAAGGATAAATAATGCACGCTAAACCAGGTGTACTGCTCGTGGTGAAATTATGGAATTTTACAAGATTCACATTTAGGCCTTAAATCATACCACTTATAAAATAAGTACTTTCGACATGATCGTATGAAGCAGTGTAAAAGTTCAGAATTTCTACTGAATTATTACCGCAATAAAAATGAATATCGTTGCAATGAGCTCACACTATCAAATGTGCTCAGCTTACATATACGTATACGAGCAAATGGAAAACAACCCTTGCGACACAATGGAACAACAATCGTTGGCTGATAAAGACGAATTAAGTAAATCAAACAAAATGAAATATTGCTGCGCCTATCTGTTAGCACTTGACTCGACAGAGAGCTGAGAATAGCAAGTCCAACCATTTAGGTTATGCCAACATTCAAACTGCGCTTTACTTGCACAGTTATCTAATACTTAAACACTTTACCTTTGATGGTTCAAGCATATCTGATGCAGTAATTTTAGCCACTTGTACTTACACTGCCTACTAAAATAAAAGGATATGTATGCTTAAATGTGGATGCAGATTAACTAAAAATTCAGGTAAGCAGATTTGAAGCCAGCTTCAAATAGCTTAGATCATATTTAGCATAAGACAA